CTGGGAACAACGGCATGGGGTAAATGATTCTTCCGAATTCACACAAGAGGCCAACGTGCTCTTTCACGGATCAGGAGAGAGTCCTCCACGTTCCTGCTTTGTGGCAGGTGGAGATCTCCCTGGTGGATCCTCGAGAGCCCAGCCTTTTGTAAGGTTGCTCAGCGCATGGGGGGGGGAGTTGGGTTCCCCCCTCCCGCAAATTCCCCAGGGAGGAGAAAGCCGTTTAGCTTGGGAAGACTTTACCTAGATTTTGGGGAGCTCTAGACATGCGCAAAAGACAACTTTTGGCCCACTCCTATATGGAAGTATGCATGTCCCATTCTTGGATGTGCTGTATTTCCTGGAAGTGGGGGGGGGGAGAGAGAGAGCATGCTCTGCCTATGTGCTTATATGTGCGTGCGTGCTTGCACATGGGCATGGTTTATGGCTGTCTTTTTTTTCAAACAGTAAGGGTGAGAAGGAGAACCACAGGCTGAAGGAGATCTACAGGCTTTCTCACTGCTGTTTGATGGTTTTGCTTCCCCCCCCCTCCATTGCAAGCCCAGACCAGCATGTCTTTACAGGGAAAGAGGGCTGGGAAAAGCATGCCTTGTTCGAGCAAAAAAACATGCCACCACCTCGGAGCCTGTCTGCTCTTTCAGATTTACTGGAAGAAGCCAAAAAAAGGGGGGGGGGGTTTCTGTGTATGTCATTGGAAAAAAATGAACAGATAACTGGGATTACTTGTCTGGAATCTAGGATTACAGAGGTTAAGACTGTGTGCGCGCGCATGGATGTGTGCGGTTCAGACTTAGATGCTTTATTAGAATACTCAACGTGTTGGCCTCCCTCCCTTTTGATGTTTCGGAGAAACTGGGTTGGGCATTAGGAATAAAACTCTGTTCTTCCTTTTATTTTATTTTATTTATTTATTTAATTTATATGCCGCCCACACGACCCAAAGGTCTCTGGGTGGCTTACAACAATGTGATCTCAATAAAAAGATAAAAACACTTAAAATACAATTAAAATACGATGCTCTAAAAATTGCCATCAGGATCCACAGTGGATATTATTTCCATTAAAAAGCAACCTTCATTCTGTCCTTTCCTTAGGTCTCTAATAAGAGAGAGAGAGAGACCCTTTCTTCTGCAGCACATCATGTCTTTCAGTTTAAACTCTTCCGTTGTTTTCAGTTCCTCTTCACCTGGTGTTTACATGAGTTCTCCTGTCCGGACGTGCAACAGTAGGGTGATGACTATTCTCACGTTTGTAAGAGAGAGAGAGCGGGATAGACGATCCAGCCTCTCGGTCGTTTTTCCCACCCTCACCCCTGGAAAAGTCAAATCCAGTTTTGTTTGAATTTCTGCCCCGATGGTTCCGGTTTTGACAGAATCTCGTCCTTTACTGCGGAGCAGAACTCAGACCTTACGTAACTTGGTGCTTCCAGATTTAAGGTCGAGAGGCGAGTACTACAGAAACGACAACAGGAGAGGGTGTTTGGCGAGATGAACAGCGTATGACACGAGGGGTTTCCTATTAGGGATTTCAAATCAATGTCGCTTTAAGTCTTTAATCCCAAAATGCTTGGAGATAAATCAGTCAGATGAGATTGTTTGCCTCCCCAGATCCTGCTGTCTTTGTCTGTCGGAACTCTCCACGCTAGCCATGCCCCTTGATTTTTAAAACGATGAAACCACTTTTGTCACCATTGTCATCATCATCCTCATCATTACTATCCTATAGGTTTAGGTTTTCGGCTGCAGAGCCAGAGGCTGGGAGTTTGATTCCCCACTGTTCCTCTTATGAGCAGAGCCAGCCTGGATAGCCTTGGGCCAGCTGCACAGAGTCTCCAAAGTGCCCCTAGAGGAAGGGAGTGGTAATACACTTCTGAGTACTCTTATCTAGAAAACCCTGAAAAGCGTCGTCATAAGTTGGAATTGACTTGACAGCACAGATTATTATTATGAGTCATAGACGTAAGGACGCCATCGTGAAGAAATTACTTAAATGGATTTTGCATTTTCTACAAACAATTTATGCACCCTTTCAGGGCCCATTTTATGCATTATTAAGGTTTAAACGTCTTCCTGCTGCAGTCATCATTGGATTGCTTGTGAACACACTGCAGAGAAAGTCGTTGTCATCTAGTCGTTTAGTTGTGTCCGACTCTTTGTGACCCCATGGACCAGAGCACGCCAGGCCCTCCTATCTTCCACTGCCTCCCGTTGTTGTGTCAAATGCATCTTGGTCGCTTCGGTGACCCTGTCCAACCATCTCATCCTCTGTCGTCCCCTTCTCCTCTTGCCTTCACACTTTCCCAACATCAAGGTCTTTTCCAAGGAGTCTTCTCTTCTCATGAGATGGCCAAAGTACTGGAGCCTCAGCTTCAGGATCAGTCCTTCCAGTGAGCACTCAGGGTTGATTTCCTGTAGAATTGATAGGTTTGTTCTCTTTGCAGTCCAGGGAACTCTCACGAGTCTCCTCCAGCACCACAATTCAAAAGCATAAATTCTTCAGC